TTGCCCAAGGTCTCCTGGTCGATCCCCACGCTGTGACCTGCAGGACAGCTTCCCCACAGAGGCTGTGCAGGCAGCCAGATATTAGCTCCTTTCCAGCTCAGCAGCTCAGTCTGGAGGCCTCAGACAACACCCAAAGTCATCCACACACCTGTCCAAAATCTCCCAAGGCAGTTCAATCAATTGCCCAAGTCCCAAAAAACCAAAACAGCCCACAGGTAAGGCTTTTTCTGCTTGTAGTCTGGCTGTTGCTATGGTTACAGCTGTGGGCAGCCTCCAACTGAACAAACACACCTACCACTTGCCAGTTTTTCACCACTGTTGTCCTCCTCATGGGGTCCAGAAGTCTCTCGCTAACTCCCTGTGTCACCAAAGGGAGGTTTCTAGGCAGATCCCACCAGCCAGAGAGGCCTGGAGTCTTCTCTCCCCAATCTCACTGTGCCTGGTTGCACAGAAACTGTTACTCGGCCGCCATCTTGCTCGGAAGCCTGCCGATCTTATTAATTTTGAACTTAAATAAAAGCAGCCATTGGAATACAAGGAGTAGAGATTTAAATGCATTTGTTAGAGAAGAATGATTAAAAAGAAATACAAGTAAAATGTGTTTTTAACCCAGGAAACGTCATCAAGATTAATTAAGGTACCACAAAGATAGTATGAGCAAAAGAATAATGAGGAAAATACTAGTGAAACAGAAAAAAATGGAGTTGGTTAACAAGTCAGAAACCAGCTCATTACAAAAACTAGTAAGAGGCAAATGTTTGATAAATGTGATAAAGAAAAAAAAAACAACGCATAAATAGTAAGCATGAAGAAGCATAATTGCAGTCACAGGGATATTTATAACTAAATTTAAAATCTGAATAAAAAGGACAATTTTAGGAAAACATAAATTATCAAAAGTGATCCAGGAAGAAGCAAAAGCCTGATGTGGACTAATAACCATAAAAGAAATTGAAATATTCCTTGGGGACTTCCTTCTGCTGAAAGACACTGAAGTCACGGAAGTTCTTGTAGACTTTCAATGACTAATTCCCATCTTTGTTCAGATTACAGGAAGACAGGAATATTTTAATCTCTTTTTATAAGGTTAAATATAATCTTGACAGCACAATTGGCTTACACAGGAAAAAATTTATAGGCCAGTCATTCATATGTATATAGATGCCAAAATCCTAATTAAATTTCTTTGTATTTTGAGTCCAATAGTATAATAACCCAATATAGACCTTGCCCATCTATACCAATTTAACCCGGTTCTCGAATTCCCCAGTGTTTTTAGTATTAGTTTGCTTACTCATCATTATTTATCGTTACTGTGTCTTTTCAGCTATACTCAATGTCAGCAGCTAATAAGTAAGCAAACTAGTTTACTAGTCTCTCAGCATTAAGCCACCATTAATGAAACTGGGAGTTTGGGTTCTAGAAATCTAGGGAAAGGTGCGG